CTACCCTATGTTTTTTTATTGGAGCATTTAAGCCATTTATATTTAAAGTGATTATTGCTAGGTATGTATTTATTACCATTTTATTCTTCAAACTATGGTCCTCTGTTTTTTTGTTTTTGTTTTTGTTTTGCCCTCTTCTTAAAGAAGACCCTTTAACATTTCTTGGAATACTGGTTTGGTGGTAACAAACTCCTTTAGCTTTTTCTTGTCTGGGAAGCTCTTTATTTCTCCTTCAATTTTAAATGATAGCCTTGCTGGGTAAAGTAGTCTTGGTTGTAGGCCCTTGCTGTTCAACACCTTAAATATTTCATGCCAATTCCTTCTGGCCTGAAATGTTTCTGTTGATAAATCAGATGATAGTCTTTTGATAGCTCCCTTGTAGTAACCGTCTTTCTTTTGCTGCTTTTAATATTCTCTCTTTGTATTTAAACTTTGCCACTTTGATTATTTTGCAGCAAATTTGATTATCTTAGTGTGGGCCTCTTTGGGTTCATCTTGTCTGGGACTCTCTGCACTGCCTGGATGTGCACTACCTGGGTGCCCGTTTTTTCCTTCACCAGGTTAGGTAAGTTTTCAGTTATTACTTCTTCAAATAGGTTCCAGATCCCTTGCTCTCTGTCTTCTCCTTCTGGTACCCCTATGATGTGGGTATTATTACACTTTGTGTTGTCCCAAAGGTCACTTATTCTCATTTTTTGAAATTATTTTTCCTTTTTGCTGCTCTGATTTGTTTTCTGCTACCTCATCTTTCAAATTTGACATGGTCTTATACATAGAAAATCCTAATGAATCCACTTTAAATGATTAAATTCATAAATGAGTTCAGCAAAGTTGCAGGACACAAGATCAATATACAAATGTCAACTGCATTTCTATACAGTAGCTATAAGAAAATCAAAAATAAAATTAAGAACACAATTCCATTTATAATAGCATCAAAAATAATAAAATATTATAAATACAAAAGTACTCTTTTTTAAAAAAGGGCAAAACTCACATTCTGAAAACTATAAAACATTTATTTAATTTAAAAAACTAAATAAGCGGAAAGAAATTTCATGTTCACAGATTTTTAAAAATCACTAAGATGACAGTACTCACTCAAATTGCTCTACAGAGTCAATGCAACCCTATTAAAATTTCAACTGCCTGATTTGCACTAGTGGATAAGCTTGTCCTAAAATTCATATAGAAGTTCAAGAAAACCCAAATAACCAAGCAATCTTGAAAAAGTAAAACAAAGTTGGAAGATTCACACTTTCCAATTGAAAACTTACTGCAAAGTGACATTAATCAAGACAGTGTGGTCCTGGCATAAGGACAGACATATAGACCAATGAAATAGACTTTAAAGTCCAGAAATAAAGTCATACATCAATGGCCAACTGACTTTCCATGAACTTTCCAAGTCTATTTAATGGGGCAAGAATAGTCTCTGCAATAAATGATGCTGGAACAAGATTTCCACATGAAAAAAATAAAGTTGGATGCCTATCTCATGCTATATGCAAAAACTAACTTCAAATGAATCAATGGCATAAATATAAGAGCTAAAACTATATAAAACTCTTAAAAGAACACATAAAGGTAAATCTTCGTGATCTTGGATTTTGCATTGTCTTCTTAGATATGACACCAAAAGCATAAGCAACAACGACAACTGAACAACCTAGATATCATAATTCAAAAGGTTTGTGTTTTAAAGGGCACCATTAAGAAAGTGCGAACACAGCCCACAGGGTGGAAGAAAATTTTTGCAAATCATGTATTTGATAATGCACTTATATCTAAAATATATGAGCACCTATACAGCTAAAAAAATTAAAAGACAAACAGCCCAATTTAAAAACGGGCAAAGGATCTGAATAGATACTTCTCAAGAAGATATGCAAATGGCCAATAAGCACATGAAGAGTTGCTCAGTATCATTACCTATCATAGAAATGCAAATCAGAACCATAGTGAGATACCACCTCATGCCTGCTAGAACGACTATAATAATAATAAAAGGTAACAAGTGTTGGTAAGGATGTGGAGAAACTGTAACCCATGTACAGTGCTGTTGGGAATATAAAATGGTGCATCTTGACTTGAAAACAATCTGGTAGTTCCTCAAATGGTTACACAGAGGGTTACCGTACAATCAGCAATTCCATTCCAACTATATAACCAAAAGAAATGAAAACATTTCCACAACAATGTGGAAACTGTTCTGGAAATGTTTATAGAAGCAATATTTATATACAAATGTTTATAGAAGCAATATTCATAATAATCAGAACATGGAAACAACCCAAATTCTATCAACTGATGAACAAATAAATAAAATGTAGTATATCCATTCGATGGACTATTTTGTAGCTCTAAAAAGGAATGGAGTACTGGTACAACATGGATTAACCCTGAAAATATTATGTTAAGTATAAGAAGCCAGTCAAAAAGGGCCTTATATTTCACATAAATTCTATGATTCGATTTATGTGAAATGTCTAGAATAGACAAACCTAGAGAGATAAAAAGTAGATGAATGCTTCCCAGGGCTGGGGGTAATTCCTAAAGGGTACTGAGTTTTGTTTTGTTTCTGAAGCAATGAAAATGTTCTATAATTAATTGTTATGATGAATGAATGCACAACTCTGTAAATATACTACCATTGAATCGTACACTCTAAATGGATGAAGTATATGGTATGTGAATTATGTCTCAATAAAGATGTTAAAAATATGGTTCATGTTTTCTTCATCCTTCTTTTGCTCAGTAGCCTCATCAGAATACAGAGCAGCCATTCGCGGTGACTTGGGTGCTGCAGGCCAAAGAGCAGTGATACTCAGCTTCCTTTACATGCAGCTGAGGCCAGTCTCCCAGCCACACACCCACCTCACCCCAACGATGGGTCCAGCTGTTCTTTCTGCTGCCTGGATCAGACTGCACTTCTAAAAATTATCCTGGAACCCTCAAAGATTGCATACAGCTAACCTTGCAATTGTCACCGCACAGCTGCCGGTAGAAGACACTGGGAATGGCCTCCAATCCAGTCCCATGTTGTTCTAAGGCTCAGGGGACATTCCCCTATAGGCTAAAGAAGTCCAAAAGGTCAATGGAGGTTACATCATCTCCATAACCTACAAAAGGGCTCCATGGTCCTGCCTGCATGGGACTTCCAAAGCCAGAGGAAAGACTGATGCCTCCCTAGGACAACCCATGAGCCATGTTTCCACTCCCCTGCTTTCCTTGCTACAGAAATCTCCTGTTACCAGGTCACAGCCTTGACTGGACCCTGGAGGCTGGGTGAGCTGCCTCAATAGAAAGGGGTGGGGGTTGCAAAGGACAGCCACACATAGGTAGGCTGATCAGTCTTGCCTGAAGGGGGTCATCAGCAGAAGCAAATTTGCATGAAGTCAGTGGAGTTTAAGCTCCAGGGGCCTCCAGGGGGCTCTTTCCAATTCCACAGTAATCTTGTGAATTTTTTTATTGTTATTCTATTTCAGTTGTCCCAATTCACCAACCCCCCTGCCCACTGCCCCTTCCACAGTCAATCCCTACGCTGTTGTCCGTGTCCATTGGTCATCGATATGTGTTCTTTGTCTAGTCCCTTCCCCTGCTTTCCGCCATTACCCTCCACCCACCTCCTGTCTGGCCACTGTCAGTCTGTTCCATGTTTCCATGCCTCTGCGTCTATTTTGCTCATTAGGTTATTTTGTTCATTAGATTCCTCTTATGAATAAGATCATATGGTGTTTGTCTTTCATCAGGTGGGTTATTTCACTTAGCATAATTGTCTGCAGTTCTATTCATGCTGTCACAAAAGAGTTCTTTCTTTCTGCTGAGTAGTATTCCATTGTGTAAATGTACCAGTTTTTGATCCAATCATTTACTGATGGGCACTTAGGCTGTGTCCAGCACCTGGCTATCGTAAAGAACGCTGCTATGAACATAGGGTCACACAGGTTCTTTTGGATTGGTGATTCAGGATTCTTAGGGCATATTCCCAGCAGTAGAAATGCTGGGTCAAAAGGCAGTTCCTTTTTTTCATTTTTTGAGGAAACTTCATACCATCTTCCACAGTGGCTGTACCAGTCTGCATTCCCACCAACAGTGCACTAGGGTTCCCTTTTCTACCCATCCTTATTAGCACTTGTTGATTTATTAATGATGGCCATTCTGACCAGTGTGAGGTGATATCTCATTGCAATTTTAATTTGCATCTCTCTAGTGGCTAGTGATATTAATCATCTTTTCATATGTCTATGGGCCATGTGTATGTCCTCCTTGGAAGAGTATTTATTCAGGTCCTTTGCCCATATTTTAACTGGGTTGTTTGTCTTCCTTGTGTTGAGTTATATGAGTTCTTCATATATTTTGGAGATTAAACCTTGTTCAGTATATTCTCCCATACAGTCAATTCCCTTTCCATTTTGGTGATGGTTTCTTTAGCTGTGCAGAAGTTTTTTAATTTGATGTAGTCCTATTTGTTTACTTTTACCTTTATTTTCCTCGCCCTAGGAGATATATCAGCAAAAACATTGCTACATGGGATGTCTGCAATTTTCCTGCCTATGTTTTCCTCTAGGACTTGTATGGTGTCATGACTTATATTTAAGTCTTTTATCCATTTTGAGTTTATTCTGGTGTACAGTGGGAGTTGGTGATCTATTTTCACTTTTTTTTTTTGCATGGATCAGTCCAGCTCTCCTAACACCATTTGTTGAAGAGGCGATTTTTACTCCAATTTATGTTTCTGCCCCCTTTGTTGAATATTAATTGACCATAGAGACTTGGGTTTATTTCTGGGCTCTCTGTTCTGTTCCACTGGTCTATGGGTCTGTTCTTATGTCAGTACCAGACTGTTTTGATTACAGGGGCCTTGTAGAATAGTGTGATATCAGGTATTGTGATCCCTCTTGCTATCTTCTTCTCAAGATATCTGAGGCTATTTGGGGTCTTTTTTGTTCCATATAAATTTTTGAAATATCTGTTCTAGGTCTGTGAAATTTGCCATTAAAGCTATGGAACACTTCTCTAATTTGCATGTCATCCTTGCACCACAGCCCTGCCAATCTTCTCCGATCGTTCCTATAATAGTACACGTGCTACTGAAGTGAGCACAATTCCACTGTGGTCTTAAGCTACATTTTTATGGCTTCTACTTTCTTTTCATTTACTAAGGTGTGTTTCATTGCTCAGAATGTGTCTTGATGTTCTAGTCTATGTGGGCTATTATAACAAAATGTCGTAAATTTCATTACTTTTAAAAATGAAATTTATTTTCTCGCAGTTCTGGAGACTGGAAGTCCAAGTTCAAAGTGCCAGCAGGATAGGCATCTGGTATGGGCAGTTCCCTGGGCCTGCAGGCGGCCGTCTTCCTGCTGTGTGCTCACATGCTATCTCTTATTATAAGGGCCCAAATTATATCAGATCAGGGCCCCACTGCTACAAACTCATTTAACCTTAATTATTTCCTCAGAGACCCCATCTCCAAATACAACTACACTGGGGTTAGGACTTCAGCATACAAATTTGGTGGGACAGAGGCACTTGAAGAGGGTTCTGTGTGAACTTGAGTAGAATGTGTGTTCAATTCTCCTGTCAATTCCTGATTTTCTGCCCTCTGGATCTGCCCATTTGCTTTGCTTTTCTCTTGTGACGATGAGAGAAATGACCTCTAAGATCTTTACATGTTGGAGCTGAAATATCCCTGATTTTCTTTTTGAGCCAAAGGGAGTTACACAGGTGAAAAATGTAGACAGCTCCTCCTGGGCCCTTGAGAATGTAGCAGGTGCAGTGTCTTCGTCCACGTGTTTTGGGGAGGAAAACAGTTGCCTTTAGAATGTGAAAAATAAAAATAAGATGGAAGTAGGAATAAAGAAGGAGGAAAAAATTGCTACAGGGATCCTGGGTCCATGGCCTTATAATCTACACCACTGTTCTTTTAACATTGTTTCTATAAATAATGACCTATTAACTAATATGTGACTGCAGATAAACAGCCTGTTTTCTTAAGAATTCTAGGAACTAACTTCGAACGTAACAGACTCAAAGCTTCAGACATTCTGGCTCTGGCAGCTTTGCTGACATTTGACCAGTTACCTGAACAGACAGTGTTGACTTGCATGTAGTCAGTCCCCTAGTGAAGAACTCTGGACGTCCTCCTTTTGATTCTTTTGTTCTGTGTTTTGTTCTTCCTCCTCCCTCCTCATAAAAACACCTGCCTGCATCAAATTGTTCAGATGATCCTTGTGACATTAGTCCGCCCTCTTCTCAGGCTTGAATTCTAGCTCTTGAATAAACCTACTTTCCTTCCACCAGCCCTCGACTGCCTCTCAGTTATTGACTTGAGTGCCTGGCAGCCTAACCTGGGTTTGGTATCGGCCTCAGGACCAGGGACAGAAGGCAGCCCAGTGTTCTCACAAGGCATTCTGAAAGAGGATTTACAAACTCAGAGACCCCGGAGCATAAGCATAAAGAGCTGTTGGGTCTTTGTGTTCAGTTCACAGGTTAGATGCCAACCAGTCAGAATTTATGGGCATTTATAGGATCAGGTACACAGAACACTCAGTACTGAACCTGTGCCTTATCAGCTATAAAAATCTACCAGGCACTGGCCCAAGCAATTCGTAAACATCACTAATCCCTAAAATAAACCTATAAAGGTGCATGATATCCCCTGATTCATAGATAAGAAAACTCAGATTCCAAGGGGAAAGATGACTTACCCAAACCACACTGCTGAAAAGTCAAGAGGCCAAGATTTATTTCACAGGTGAGACAACGGGGGTACAAAAAGGTGACATCATTGCACAAGATCACACCAAATGGCAAAGCCCTAGGACTTGATGCCATCCCTCATGGCATGCAACCTTGCACATACCCTCCCCCACCTGACCTGTGGTTGGATCTCTGAGTCTCATCATCCTCAGGGAAGGACCTTGGATCTGCAGAAACCAGGAACTCACAGGGAGGGCTCTCCCAGCCACTCCCTTGACCACATAGCACTGAGGCAGACAGTCTGGAGAGATGCTATTACTTCCATAGAGATCCACCTGTCTCACACCAGAAGCTTGTTGGACATAGGTAGGTGGGCATTTGCTGCCAGAACCCCAGTGCAGTAATCAGGCAGTCTATTAAGAATCCCAAAATTGGATGGTAAATTTAATGTTACATGTTTTTTACAATAAAAATAATAATAATAACAAAAAGAATTGGGACTTCCAGCCAAGGTGGAGGTGTAGGCAAAATACAGTTTGCCTCCTCACACAACCAAAAGAAAACAACAAATTTAAAAACAAAAAATAACCGAAACTGCCAGAAAATCAAACCATATGGAAGTCTGACAACCAAGGAATTAAAGAAGAAACATTCCTCCAGACCAGTAGGAGGGGTGGAGATGGGGAGCCAGAGCAGAAAGGACTTGTAGCAAGGTGGCAGCTGGTGGATCGGGGCAGGCAAGGTGGCAGCTGGCGGACATTGGTATACGGATAAACTGAGAGGAACAACTGAGGCGCCAGACAGACCGCTTAACCCAGGGTTCTAGTCTGAGGAAATAATGCCTCAAAGCCTCTGACTGAAAATAACCTGCGGGTGTTGAGGCATCAGCAGAAAAAACTCCCAGCCTCACAGGAGAGTTTATTGGGGAGACCCACAAGGTCCTAGAATGTACACAAACCAACCCCCTGGAAATCAGGAAATCAGCTGATGGAAATCAGCACCAGGAGGGCTCAATTTGCTTGTGTGAAAGTGACAGAAAGCTAGTGGAGTAAGTGGCATTATTCCCTCTCAGACCCCTCCCCCACAAACAGCACCACAAAGCAGCTACATAGGTTGCCCTGGCCTGGTAAACACCTAAGGCTCTGCCTCTTACTATGTAACGGGTGCGCTAAGACAAAAAAAAATATGGAATGAACAGATCAAATGAAAGAACAGATCAAAGCTCCAAAAATAGAACTGAGCAAGGAAGAGACAGCCAGCCTGTGAGATGCATAATTCAAAACACTGGTAATCAAGATGCTCACAAAAATGATTGAGTATGGTCACAAAATAGAGGAAAAAGTGAAGGCTATGAAAAGTGAAATTAAGGAAAATGTGCAGAGAACCAACAGTGAAGGGACAGAAGCCAGGACTCAAATCAACAATTTGGAATAGAAGGAAGAAAGAAACATTCAACCAGAACAGAATGAAGAAACAAGAATTCAAAAAAATGAGGAGAGGCTTAGGAACCTCTGGGACAACTTTAAACATTCCAACGTCCGAATCATAGGGGTGCCAGAAGGAGAAGAAGAAGAGCAAGAAATTGAAAACTTGTTTGAAAACATAATGGAGAACTTCCCTAATCTGGTGAAGGAAATAGACTTCCAGGAAATCCAGGAAGCTCAGAGAGTCCAAAAGAAGTTGGATCCAAGAAGGAACACACCAAGGCGCATCATAATTATATTACCCAAGATTAAAGATAAGGAGAGAATCTTAAAAGCAGCAAGAACAAAAGAGAGACTTACCTACAAAGGAGTTCCCATAAGACTATCAGCTGATTTCTCAAAAGAAACCTTGTAGGCAAGAAGGGGCTGGAAAGAAATATTCAAAGTAATGAAAGGCAAGGACCTCCATCCAAGATTACTCTATCCAGCAAAGCTATTATCTAAAATGAGAGGGCAGATAAAGTGCTTCCCAGATAAGGTCAAGTTCAAGGAGTTCATCATCACCAAGCCCTTATTATATGAAAAGTTAAAGGGAGTTATCTAAGAAAAAGAAAGTCAAAAATATGGATGGTAAAATGACAAAAAAACCGAAACTATCAACAACTGAACCTAAAAAACAAAAACAAACTAAGCAAACAACTAGAACAGGAACAGAATAACAGAAATGGGGATCTCATGGAGGGAGGGTTATCAATGGCAGTGCAAGGGGGAAGAATGGGGCAAAAGGTACAGGGAATAAGAAGCATAAATGGTAGGTGCAGAATAGTCAGGCGGAGGCTAAGAATAGTATGGGAAATGGAGAAGCCAAAGAACTTATACATACGACCCACAGACATGAACTAAGGTAGGGAAATGCTGGTGGGAGGGGGGCATGCAAGGTGGAGGGGAATAAAGGGAAGGGGAAAAATGGGACAACTATAATAGCTTAATCAATAAAATATATTCAAAATAAAAGAACTGTAAACTTCATTGCAGCATTGTTGGAAAATAGAGGTTGGGGGAGGGAAACTACCTAAAATTTCAAAAAAAATAATAGCCAGTGTTCCTTGTATTCTTGCTAGATACCAGAAAATAATCTGAACATTTTTGTGCATTATGTCACTTAATTCTCTAAGGTCCTAATGAGGTAGGTACTATTATTATTTCCATTTTAACATGGGTAAACTGAGGCCTGGGGAGGTTAAACAACTGTCCCAAAGTCACACAGCTAGTGCACAGCAAAGCTGGGATCTGCAGGCTCATTCCAGAACCTGTTACCCTAAACACTGAGTTGTTTCACTAGGAGTCAATTATAGTTCATGCCTTAAATTTTTTTTAATTTACCAGAGTTGGAACTGTATAAGTTTTTGTCTTCTGTAAAATGGGAGAAACCCAGTTACAAAATGGCATGTGTAAAATTACATTTGGTGGAGGTGCAGCTGTTCAGGGGCACAACCTTAGAGTACCCGGTCAGATGTGGCATGGGCATGCCTCCGGTCTACGGCAAGCAATCTCACTCCTGAGTGTATATTTTATTGCAGAGAAATTCCCACACAGGTTTAAAAGGGAGACGTGCATAAGAATATTTAACACAGCCTGTCGTGTGGCACTCTGGGTGCAGTGTGGTTCATGCACTCCCCTTAATGCGCTGCACAGTAGTTAGAAGTGGCAGACCTAGTGTAGATGCTGCAACAGGAATCTGTCTTAAAATCAAAGAGCTGAGCAAAAAAACAGATGAGAGAGAACGAGATCTGTGTCAGCTGGTGTCCAGTTGACAAAACGGAAACCACGGTAAACATTTTAAACAGAGAGAGTTGAACACAGAGCATTAGTGATGAAAGAGTTGGAATTGCTGTAGGAACAAAAGCGGAAGGTCAGGATGCCCACAGTCTTGTACCTGCAGGAAACAGAAAGGAAACCGAGTTACGAAGAGCCCAT